CAGCCTCACGGCAGCGGTGCTGGGCGGAGAGGTTTGTAGGGCCAGCGGCAAAGGCCCAAGCCCAGCTGCTGCAGGGGGATCGCTGCCTGCCTGACCCTGGTGAGCCCTGGAGGCCGGTCCCTGTGCAGGCAGGGTGCACGAGGGAGCAACGCTGAGGGCTGGCAGGGCGACTGCGTTTGTACTCACTGGGACGACGCCTTCAGCATGTAGCTGACCTCCCGGTCGTCTGCGTTCTCCAGCAGCCTCAAGATGAAGACGTTGGCCAAACTCTGCCCCTGGTCTTCTAACTCTTCCACCCGAAGGAGTCCCCGGGGTGCTGAGTCGAACACTTGGTACTTGTCCCTGGGAGAGGTTAAAGAGAAGATGAGGAAAAGTCTGCAGTTATTGCAGGAGAGTTTGGCTTCAGCCACCCAGAACTGTACTGGGGATGCAGAATGGGAACTTCTGTATGGCAGGAGGAATAGAAGATGTCCTGCTACAGGCAAAGCTAGGCTGGTGGCTACAAAACTCCACCACACAGCAAGAGACCTTCTCCTCACTCTGCCGTAGGCATCCTGGATGGCCTGGAACAAGTTGCTTGCTCTGTGTCTTAGCTCCCTACGTACAAAACGCAGATGGTGCTCCCTCAAAGGGGACTCTAAGGCTTAATTCATTCCTATTTGTAAAATGCCTCTGTGTTTTCTGGATGTAAGCTGCCGCAGAAGCAAAATATTTCTAGGCATACAGACACTGCGGCGACATGTTTATTAGAAACGTTGGACGGGCGAGATGCTCCCTACCGGTGAGCCTAGTTAACGCCACAAAGAACGTGCTGTTCTCTGGGACCGGTCTGTTTGTGCTGCTATATTTCATTAATCTCTAGTTGCACAAGACATGGTCCGAGGAATGATGATGTTCTCCTCCTGAGACAGGTTACACCATGCCAAATACAATCCCTAGCCTTAGGCCTAAACTTACACCCCTTCCCGCCGCTTGGACTTCCTGCACTGCGTTCTTAGATGTTTAACTGACTAAATCTGAGCTGCTCTTCAGGCCAGCAATGAATTTAAAAAAAAAAAAAAAAAATCACTGCCTGACAGGAGGATAGCCCTCCTGGGTCAGCCCACCAGGTGATGCAACTCACTGCTGCTCTGCAGAAGCTGCTGGATATGTGCTCGCTTACCCTGTCGGGAGACCTGGCCTAAAGTCTGTTAAGTCCTGTTTGAAGTAAAGATTGGGCTGTGCCACCCATGAGCAGCAACTGCTCACCAACTGCACTCAAAGGCGAGGTGACTGCTGAAGAAAGGTGTACAGGCCAGGCCAGGATGCACAGTGCCTGGGGGCACAGGATGGAGCCACCACGTCACTGCTTCAATAAACCCATGGGCAAACAGGTCTTCTGAAGTACTCCGTGTGCCACCTGAATGTTGCACTCACCCAGGAATTTGCCTGCAAATTACCAGCAGGTCATTGAAAAGGAACAGGTAGATTTCTCTGAAGAGTTTCTTGGTACGAAGCGTACGTGATGTCTTTGGACCGTTCATTTGCTGCAGTTCCCCCTGCTTCAGGAGCCAGCGTGAGTGCGAGATGATGGGCACGGACTAGAAGTGAGGGAAAGACAGCGAAGATCAGAAGAGCAGCAAAGCCCCACGGGCTACACAGTCGAGAGGATGAAAGCAACAGGAGACGCAGAAGGAAGGGCAGAAGGAAGGGCAGCGGGCTCCTGTCACCACAACTCACGCTGCAGGGGATGGACCAGAGCAGCGCAGAGAGGTCAGTGTGCGCTCTCATCCATACCTCAGCCCAGCACGGAGCGTAACGTGCTCAGACAAGGCCACAGCTGAGAGGCCCAAGAACAATCGACTACCCAAGTGAAGACGGGGCTGCTGAAGTGCTAAGCGCTGGATTTAACCACCAGGCTGTGCCCTGTACAGAGTGTGGGATCCCATATCTGATGAGCTAGGCTGAGCCTTTCTGATCAGGAACACTGCAGCCTCCAAAACCTGTATTTGGCCTTTCAGCTACAAAAAAAACAGGTTCCCACTGGTTAGGTCTGTCCCAGCCAGGACCCAGTGTCATCCAAGCAATCAAAGTGCAACAGGACTGTGGCTGGGGTTTTAACAACATAAATAATTAAGCTAACAACAAGAACCCCAGTACAAAGGCCATCTAATATCAGAAAAACACTTTGCTTCCAGTTAAATGACTGAAATATAGGAAAATATCCGCAAAACTGCTGCCCTTTCCACCTTCACTCCTTCCTCAGGTTCATCATATGCACTGTGGCGCAGTCTTTCACTTCATGCTCTCATGCTATTTTCCTCAGAGGAGCCCTGCCTGTGCCAGGGCCGAGGGCAGACCTGCTGCAAGGATGAACCGGCTCCTGCCCATCGTTACCACCTCGGCTTTAGAAGAGATGAGGCGGTCTCGTGGCTACTGCAACCCAGCACCGTCCTGTGAACTGTGGTCCAGCCCTGAAACTGGTAAAGTAGCCTGGGAAATGAAATTTTTGGGGTGCCCAGTGCAGCCTTCCAAACAAGCAGTCTCAAATTTTTCTGTGCTTCAGTTACTCAGCTATGTAAAATGGTTGCTGGGAAGCTAAATACACTCCTTAAAGTTTGTTAAGCACACAGATCTGAGGAGCAGCCCCATAATACTTGAGAAAAAAATCAGCAACTTTATGCTCAGCCCTGGAATTCCCTGGCGTGTATTAAATGAGATGGGTCAGATACCCTAAATACTGATTGATTGAGTCATTACCTGAGTGGAGCCAGAATAGGGCATTAGCAGGTAATTAAGAGACTGTACATAATGCATACATACAGGGCTGAATTAAAATTATGGGACAGTCTCCATTTTGGTGTTTTCCAGCTTTGAAGTATTTTACTTCGTAGCTTTAATCTTCCTTTAATGTCATTTGAAATGTAAAATGATAGCCAAACACTGAGCTGCATTTTGAAGAGCAGTAAGAGCCAGAGCCAGAACTGAGCGCTGGAGCAGGAGCTACCCTGCACGCACAGGCGGTGTGACACCTGCGTGTCACACATCTGTATGCGCACAACACAGCTGGCTCCCGGGTGGCCCCTGGCCTCTGTGGTGCACGTGCATTGAGACCACACACCCCCCTCCACCTAGTGCATGCACAGATGCACCACCTGGGGCGGCACCATCCCCTTCAAAGGCTTTGGAGTGGGACAGCACAGACCAGGCAGGTCCCTGCCACCACCGAACACTCACAAAAAGGAGTGTGACTGGGTTACTGCGAGCGCGTACGCGTGCACGATGCCCAGATGCTGTTAGTTCCCTCTCTGCAGGGATTACCGGCCCACGCTTATACCTTGATCTTAAATTCCAGTTTCTTCTGGATGCTGATCATCTGCTCTGTTCGGCTCATCTTTCTGACACCTTCATTACATGCTTTCACCACCTGGGAAAAGAAGAGAGTAGCAGGTTTTACCTCCAATGGCCTAAGCAGGTAAGTGAGGATGGACAACACAGAAAGGGCTGACCGTGATGGGCAAAGGGCAGATGTTATCAAGCTGTCTTCCTAGGTGTTTCCTTAAAGTCTTCATGAAAACAGCACTGGTAGACTTTTGCCTGGGTTATTTGCTTATTTCCTTGCTGCACTGCGCCACAGTGGTTGAAATGTGGCCACAACTGAGCAAACGCTGCATTGGCAGAATGAGAAGGTAGTTGTCGGGCCCTTGTCTAGCTCCCCTTTTTGTGCCATGTACCTGAAGCTTGTAGGGGGTGTTGGGAGACACGTCAGGGCCGCAGGAGCTGGGCTGGGCCTTCTGGGAATGCCAGTGGGGTGCTGGTATCCCTCCCCAGTGTCCACATCTTCAGTATGGCCTGAAATGTCCATTTTATCCGGATGCCCATGAGTTGTGGGAACCGGAAAGCCCGATGATACAACCTAGAAGAGCCTTGTGATCTGCAGGCTCTGTACAGCACTAAAACAGGGTGCAGCCCTGGTGTGAGCTGACTACACCTGAGCTGATCAGTAGCAGGGACTGACCGAGCCAGGCTCTTCCATCAGCACTATAGTCACAGGAAAAAGAACAAAAAGAATAGAAGATGTTATAGCTGGAAGCTGAATATCAGATGACACATTCTGCTATTGAACCACACAGCACTAAGAAACACTCATGGCTGCACGGCAAAGGGAACCGCTCGTTTGCCAGCTCCTAACGTGCCATGTTTTCTTCTCTTCTTTGTCCCCAACGTTTAAAACAAGAGAGGCACACGCACAATATCATCTTCAAGGAGATAATAATAAAGCCAAAGCTTGTCATTTCAGTGCCTGAAATGCTGAAGTTCTGCCAAGCAGCACTTGGCATAGCCAAAACTATGAAGCCTACCAGGGGAGGAGACACCCATGGTACAGAGTCTGGCTGCGTCCTGAGCACAAACTTTTAACTGACAAAATACAGCCAACGCGCAGGCAGTACCCAGTTGCAGGGACCTTAACCTAGATGCCACTGTCTGTTTCATAAGGATCAAATCTCTTGAGAACTGTCTAGTTAGAAAAATTATGTTGGAGAACAAGCTCCACTTTATGCACGCTGTGTTTCTGCTACTGAAACTCCACCAGAATACCAGCAACTGGAACTGTTGTCAGCTCCTGCCTATCAAAAAGGATACTTGCAGGGAAAATATGTACCAGCTGGCCTCTGTTATAATGTCTGTACCTAGCTGGACAACAGGCATGTAAACTTTAATATTTACAGATAAGCAGCCATGTGAAGAGATTTATGAAATGGTTCAAGTGAGTCACTGACGGATGAAAACAAAAAGAGTATTTCTCTGGCAGCAATTGTAGTCCTCCACGTACTGCAGCAACAGCCTTCCTCAGGCTTCTGACCAATGGAAAACCAAGTGGCTACCAGATACATGATGAGGGACGCTGCAAACATAAAGTAATGCTGAGCTGATGGCTTTTTGTACTAGTACTTCAATCAGAAGCTACAGCCATATCCTGAGGCTAAAGTTCTTGCATAATTTTCAACTTAAAATGTTTATGTTGAACTGCAGGATTCAGGAGATACCCCAAGCTCCTGATGAAGTGGGCTTCAAACACCTCAGTCCCTGCGGCACCCTGTCCCAGCCAACAAGGCTGCTGGCAGCTCCTGACCAGTCAAACCTGTAGCCCAGAGGTGGCAAGGCCCTGCCTGACCATGTCAGGAACAGCCCAAAGAGAAAATACCCCAAACACCTTCGCAGTGTGTTATGCAGAGCAGTAACTAGCGCAACTGAATTGTGCCTGTACGCCACTCCTGCCTACCAGCTTCAGGGAAGAGGGCTAAATACAGGCTTAAGCACTTCATTAAGAAACTGCTATTTCTTAGGTCAGAGGAGGAAGTGTGCTATATTGGAGGAAACCTGACACAGTTGTAGTAGCCTGTTGCAGCAAATTACATCTCTCTGTGGGATCCATCACCTTCAGGTATCTGCAAAAACAGTCTGTATTCTTGAAGACCCCAAGGGGAAGCATATACCTCTGTCGTTAGCAGGGGGTTCCTCACCACTGACATCTAACTAGATGCCGCTAGACTAGTCCATCTGGGAGAGCAAGGAACATGTAAAAGAAATCACTCCTGAAACGCAGTCTGCGGATTCAGTGGAATAGTTCCAGGAGTGAATATGGCTTAGAGGTCTTTACTAGAAAACTGAGCGTGACGGTTTATTTTTAATAGCCTTCATTTAGCTCTTTCAAACTTACTGTTTCCAGCTCCTTATGTGCATCCAGGGCAGTGGTTTCCCTCTCGGACTTCTCTTCCACTTTCTTCAAAATGTTCTGCAGGGGAGCAAAGGCTATGTTAACTCTGATTCCTGGTGTGACAGCACAGAAAAGTCTTTGCTATCCTCAGAGTTATTTCTGGCCATCAGCCTAATTACAGGGTGGATGATGGAGTACAGCGACTTTCACCTCTTAGTTCCTGTACTTCATTAAATGCTGTTCCCATTTGACCACTACTGAATAGCTAAAAGGAATAGAGCAGGCAGACGCCTTTCTTTTTTTTTTTTTTTTTTTTTTTTTTTTTTTTTTTTTTTTTTTTTTTTTTTTTTTTTTTTTTTTTTTTTTTTTTTTTTTTTTTTTTTTTTTTTTTTTTTTTTTTTTTTTTTTTTTTTTTTTTTTTTTTTTTTTTTTTTTTTTTTTTTTTTTTTTTTTTTTTTTTTTTTTTTTTTTTTTTTTTTTTTTTTTTTTTTTTTTTTTTTTTTTTTTTTTTTTTTTTTTTTTTTTTTTTTTTTTTTTTTTTTTTTTTTTTTTTTTTTTTTTTTTTTTTTTTTTTTTTTTTTTTTTTTTTTTTTTTTTTTTTTTTTTTTTTTTTTTTTTTTTTTTTTTTTTTTTTTTTTTTTTTTTTTTTTTTTTTTTTTTTTTTTTTTTTTTTTTTTTTTTTTTTTTTTTTTTTTTTTTTTTTTTTTTTTTTTTTTTTTTTTTTTTTTTTTTTTTTTTTTTTTTTTTTTTTTTTTTTTTTTTTTTTTTTTTTTTTTTTTTTTTTTTTTTTTTTTTTTTTTTTTTTTTTTTTTTTTTTTTTTTTTTTAAGAATATTCACTAGAGCTGGCACTAACAGACAGTGTTATTGGTAATCTGAGTGCACTGATATCATTTGAGAATGATTTGGGAATGTTTCCTCATCCTTAGAACCATGTCCTCCAGCACAGGGTTTAGATGTGCCAGCAAAGCACAGGCAGAAGCCAACTGCCACAAAAGGGCTCGCCAATGTCTGGTCCAACCCCTCATGATGTAGGGTGTTTCAGATGGAGCGTTCCCATGTCCTGCAGCTACTCTGCATTGCACATCCACACGTTCGTGTCCTAACCATCAGGCAGCTGGGTTAATGGGATTGTCGCTACCCCTTCTACCAGCTCTATGAAGCTCTCCCTCAGCACTTTTGTTCAGCAAATTCCACATGAATTTGGAGATGGTCTCTGGGTAACTGAAAACACTTTCTATAGTTGTTGAGAACGTCTGATTCTTTGGAAAGGCTTCATCCAGCTCTAGGCTTGATCTTGGCTGTTTCTAAGCCTTGCACATGACTGCTGGGTAGGAGAGTACCGAGAGTGAGCCAGAAGACCCTCAATAGGACAGAAGAGCAAAACTCTACCTGCACCAGCAGCTTGAGTCGAGTGATCCTTTGAAATGGCAAAATCAGGAAGGAAGAAAAGGACAGGCCTTTGCACTTGGGATCCAGCTCCAGCTGTGATATCACTTCCCGGAAAGCTGGCTTGTCCTGGCTGAAAACAGAGGAAAGGGTTTTCAGTGCTACCTTGCCCGTCACTCTGCTGTGTAGGTGGTGACTCAAAAGCAGCCTGGTCTCAGAGACATCATCTGCCAGGCCTCTCCAAGAACAGAAAAGAAGGGAGGAGGGGACTGAATGCGTCTAGGTGTATTTTGGTTTAAACCCAGGACTATTTATAGTGTTGGGGGATGGAAAAAATAGACTTTTAATGTACAAGCTATGGTAGTGGGTTCACATGTGTAGCACATCTAGCTTAGCAGCATACGCTGTGCGCGTAGGTGTGTGTGAATGGGGTGTGTGTCCAAGTAGATGAGTCAGTGGCATAATTATATATTTTTTAACAGTTGGATTTCTGTGACAAGATGAAATTCACACAGTCATAAGAACAAGACAAGCCACAAAACAGCTCAAACTTTGCTACTCCTAGCTGCTTAGCAGGAGGATGGAAATTGTATCTGGCCTGAGAAGGGCACAGAAGAACAAGCTTGCTGCAAGAAACCCACCTGGCCATCCCTCGGCCCTCCTGGATGGCGTTCACAGCCAGTGAGCGCGTTGCTGGGCTGTGGACAAAGCTGCACAGAGCAGTCTCACAAGCCCCAACCGCCTCAGGCAAAGGCAACACCTCCTGGCAATTGTGAGGCCCTGCCTGAGGAAGACTTACACTACTGGGATCCTGGTTGGCGACAGCAGCATGGAAGCGAGGATGTTACTAACTGTGCAAATCCCCTCTTCGCTGTGTGTGACTCTCAACCCTCCTAGAGAAGTTGTAAGTGTTTCTCTCTGCTGTGGCAGGTACTCGTGTCACTGTGTGACTCACTAGAGTCCCAGCAGCCTGGACTGCGTGTGTCTAAGAAACATAGCCAAACGTGGAGGCAACGGTGACACGTGTCAGGGTTTGAGTTCAGCCAAGGGCTGCAAAATCCTTGCGCTAGCTTGGAGCCTGTGGAAGAGAGTCTATTCTTTTCAATTTGCTTTACGTTCTCCCTCAGATCAAGAAAATGCTGCCCTCTAAATTCCAGTCCAGGAACTCCTCTAACTCCAACGGGTCCTTTACAAGCTCAGTTAATCCAACCTAGTGCTAATTCACTTCTGAGTATTTATCTAATAGCTCTAGACAAACTGTTTGTATTCAGCAGCTGTTTTGCTCACCTCTGACTCAGGAAAACCCTGTGGTACCCTGTATTTGGAGAGAACAGTTGGCCAAGTTCAGCAGAGGCTCCTTAGTGTTTTTTGCCTCAAAAGCTGGAGAGCAGAGAAAGGAAAGGATTAGGGCTCATTACACTCCCCTGAACCAGCTGCTGCTGGGAAGGAAGGAGGAAATACACAGGGCAGCACGTGCAATGGCTGGCCTGAAAAAATCCAGGACATCGTAACTGAAGAAAAATTAATTCTCATGCTGAAAGCCTGGCTCATAGGGCACTCTGTCTTGAGCTGGTAGAACGGAATTCCTACCGGACCAAAACACTCACTAAACTTGAAAAATATTGCAAGAACATCTTAAGATTATGGCCTCAGGCCTAGGTAATGCCTGAAGGTGTACTACCAGAATGTGAGGAAAACGGTTTTGATTTTGTTTTGTTTTGTTTTTTTAAGAAAATGTTGTTCTTCTGGAAAATAACTCCTTAACTCTGGAAAAGTCATAGGCCTTGCTGAGAAGCTCAGGAAAAGCAGAGGCTGTTCTTGTCATCAGAGAGCTGTGATTATGTTCTCGGCCTTTCTATCTCTTGCCTTTACTTGCAGTTTAAAAATACATATGTTTCACAACTCTGTGTTCCCATGCACACTGTAACTATTTCCCACGTTTGGGAGCTGCTGGCTCTGAATTTACTTGCTATGTTACTTACACACCCCACCCTTACTAAAAAGCCTTTTAATTGTGTTTGCTTTTTATAGGTGCAGTGTAAAATCGGGGAAGAGGGAACTCCTGCTTCCATACCACTTAGTCCTTTCTCATAAATATCGAAATCATAGGTAAATCTGTGGCCTACGCAATTTTGGCAAGTAATTTAGCATCAAGCACTGGAACTCACAGAAGCTGCTTGTAAGCTCTCTCCTGGTAGGTCTGGTTGGAGACGTAGGTGATGTACACGGAGAAGTGATTAACCGCATGCTGGTAGACAATGTCACACACGTCTGAGATCACAATATTCTCCTCCACCCGCTGCTCAAGGTCCAACAGGAACCTAGGTGAGAAACCAGAGCTCAGATTCATTATCACCTGCCTGTCCCAGGTAGTTTCTAGCAGAAGCCCCTGGGGCTGAAAGCCATGAATGGATCTACAGGCTTTTGGAAAAGGCTGCGGTTAAGAGATTGCACCTAGTCAGCTCCTTCGTCCCTCTACAAACAACGTAATCTAAAAGGGTCCTGCTCAGCTGGCCAAAAATCCAGCAGCAGTTGTCTTACCGCTCACTAACAGCCATGACATCCAGCACATTGGAGAAGAGGATGTGTGCCTCAGACTGATGTAAGATCTTTTTCAGGCGTTCGTTTTCCATGAAGTGAGACACCAGCAGGTTCAGACTCTTGTAATACGAGGCTTCAGAAGTAACCAGTTCAAACATGGCCTAGGGGAGAATCCCAAAGATGGACATCAGCAGGTACTTTTTACTGTTACAGAGGTACGTACTGTGTGAATGGCAACATCTGTGCCGCGCACAGTCCTGGACACTGCACCCTCCCCTCCAGGCCCAGCGTGCGGGGAGAGGTAAGCACGCAATGACATTTGCTATGCACTGCAGAGGACAGTGACTTGAACAGAGAAGGATATATTCTCTCTCAACCTTGGGCCCAAGACTGTCCAGAGACTGTCCGCCTAGCTCCTCCTGCCTCCCTCCTAAGCCATTTGTCTGGCCACAATTCCTTCCCTTAAATCTCTCCAGCAGATTCCTCTCTTTTTCTCATAAAGCATAAGCCGTCTGAGGTTGTGTGCATGCAGGCACATAAGTGCTTCTTCGGCTCTCTCTTCCCTCCCTAGTGTCGCTCAGTAAACATCATTTCTGACCTGTGGCTGCCCCAGGCGTGGACTCCCTCATGCTTGCTTGTCACTGTCCCACACGGGTGGGGAGGCTCTCCCAGCTGCACCCCCACACCCCTACAGATTGTGACAAAGCTGGGTTGTTGCTCTGCTTATTGTGGCTTGTCATGCTGCCCATGCTGCCTTGTCCCGTCCACCCTCTCGTTTTAGAAAAGCTTTGGTGTAGGGGCCGGGTGACTGGGCTGTGCAACAGCCAGCACACTGCAGCCCCGGTGTGTGACGTGCTTCTTGGGGCAGACGTAATACAAATATACCGCTGCGGTGCTCCAAGGCCCTGTGCGTTCCCTGACACTAAGGAAATACAGCTGTTACCGCCCAAGCAAGGGTCCCTGTTGACCCCAGCCATACGCTTTCCTGACCCAATTCAACAAGGACTGGGAGAAGACATACTAGTCCCTAACTGTTACAGTAGACCATAAATAACCTCCAAAGTCTAGCAATGGCTTCCCCTGTTAAAAGAGAAGCCTGTGGTGAAAAGCCTGGCTTCCCTGGGCCAGGGATGTGGTCTGGGGAAGCAGAAAGACACACTGATGGTTTGGTTCAGAGATAAATCGTAAGTTAATGAGACGAGGATGTAAAGCCTTCTGCCCACAGCAGGCACTGCAGGAGTGGTCAGCTATCACCGCACGGAGCTCGCTTGCTCTCTCGTTAAGTGTTCGTTGTCTTTGTGCAGAGTAGATAAATCAGATGGTTATTGACCCAAATACTGACTCCATTAATTGAAGTAAGGTTAAATTAAGATTCTCACAAGGGCTCCAACATGGCAGAAAATTATTACAGCCTTCAGAAATCTCTTGACGAAGGTGTGCTGTGGGGCCCTTGTCCTGGGGCTGGGCCACGCTGCCATCACTCAAAGAGGAACCTTTGGGGAGTTCAGTGAAACGTCTCAGTTCTTTGAGCCTGAGGCTGCTTCGGTCCTTGAGCCCAAGCCCCTCCAGTGCCCACATCTCCTCCGCTGCTCCTGGTGAGGGCGGGAGCTGGCCCACACCTCAGCTCTGCCCTGCAGGCAGCGCAGGCGCAACTCCTGAGCTTGGCTGGCTCTCGGGGGCTGCATGGACACAGCCAAAGTTGAGGAAGTCTGAAGGAGCAGCAGGAGACCATGGCATTGTTTTTATGCTGCATGTATGGAAAAGCAGCCAGTTAGCTGGGGGGCTTTTTTGCAGTTTGGGCCTTTTTGTTTTTAAAGAAATTATTTTTAAACTTTTCACTGATCATTTTCGGGGCTTTTCCTGAAAAGATTACTATGCATCACAGAAGGACCCAAGATACTGAGATGTGGGTTATATGCCTGACACTATGCTAATGTCCAATATTTGGGAAGATGAGCATACTAAGGAGGGACCTTATCAGATCCAGAGCTGCTAAAATATCAGTTAAATTGATAACTCAGATAAGTTTCTGAACTAACTGCAGTTCTTGGGGGGCTGGGAGCCTATGAAAATATTCTCAGTGGGCAGTAAGCCAAGCGGACACCTAAGAAGGTGGTCCTCTGCTACACCGCAGGAGGAGGTTGTGCCTGTACAGACCCCAGAAAGGAGACAGAGCAAAGACTGCAGGTGGAAATGAATGTGCTTGGTCAGTGTGCTTATAGCAGTTGGCATTTAAGGAACGAAAGGATGTTTTATTTTTTTCAAGGCCAGATTCCCATTGAAGAAGGTGGAGGAGTATCAACTCAGCTTGTCTGAACGGCTTCACTAGGGCGTGAGAACCTACCTCTAGAGACTGACTGTGTCTGCTAAACGGACCGTGCACAGGCTTAACGGTAAGATAAATCGGAGGAGAACCAGAAGGAGGTAAATACATGACAAAGAATAAGAGAGGATGCGCTGAGACAGCAGCATGTCCCTTCCAAATACACTGGGGCTTGATACCACAAGTCCTTGTACGCTTCAGCTTTCCAGATGCTCCAAGCCAGGACTTTTCGCCTGTCAGGACTCTAATTGCAGGATGGCTGTGAGAGTCAAGATCATGATCTGCCACTCTACTACAGCCTTTCAGCCCTCCGACAGCTTGCTAAATCCCCAAGTCTGTTGCCTGATGTGCAGCCACAGAACACCCCCTGGAGCCTCACAGAAGCTTCAGAGAAATTACTTTGTGTTTGTTGCTCCCCATGGTGGGATGTCCTAGACCTGCATGGTCCTGTGCAAAACGTAAGCCATACCAAAAAAAATAACGAAAACCTTTGTGAAAACATCAATGCACAGGGTTCAGGCCTAAAGGAGATGCCAGAGAAAGCAAAGAATATCTCCATTGATTCAGTCTTGCTTCTGGAAGTATTTACTATGGCATGTGCAAGATATGAATTTCTCAAATGCCTTATGAGATCCAATTTGTCCTCCGCAGTCCCCAAAGTACCCAAGTACCTACTCCAACAGCCCAGACAGCTAGCTGTTTCCCTTTTGAATGGTAACCCTGAACCACAAATCTCAACTGGCACCAAACATCCCACTATGCAATATAATTATGCAATCTCTGCAGACTAACCAAACTCTGTTGGCTCTAACCAGTCATTAAAAAAAAGAGCATGAGCTTCTGGTTTCAGAGTTGCAAAAGTAACTAGAGAAAATTTGAACCAAATGTCAACTGATGCAACATTATCTTCCTGCGTCTGCAACAATCTGAAACTATCTCTTGGAAACATGACCGACGTTGTCCCATCAGTCCCCAAGGTAATGAACTTGAAATCTAGTAGTCACACACACAAAAGCAGTATTAATTATTTTCATTGCTTATTATTCTGGCAGAGAGAATGAGAAAGGGAAGGAAAAGTGAAGCCTAAAGAAGAAGGAAATGTAGAAGACAGGACTGAAGGGAGAAAAGTTAAGTCACCAAAGCCATGAGTAAGTAATCCTACAGATTAAATTCCTCTTGAGACAATACGGTGTTTTATCCTATAGATTGGAAATATTAATTCCCAACTAGCCCTGATATTCCTGAAAACCACCATTTAATAAGGGGAAAGCTGGTCTAGTTTAGGAGGGATGTTGTTCAGAGCTGATGCTGCGGCATCGGCTGTGATCAGCTCTCAGACCAGGGTTGCCTTCGCGTGGTACCTCTGACCTTCTCCCCCTGGAAGAGAAGAAAGACGGGCAGCCCAGCGTGAGGTCTGCCTGAGGAAAGGCAGCTACGATTCACAACAAATTTACAGGTTTGAAATCTTAGGTTTGTTCAACACAGGAGAGGAAATTAAATCTTTTTTTGGTCAGTTTTGTGAAAATGGAACAGGAGAGAAAGGCTGCCTACCTGTCAGTCAAAAGTGCTCTGTGGCAAGGAGGCCACATCACTGCTGCAGACGACGAGGTTCAGGTCCCTCCCTTGTCTGAGCAAAGAAGATTTTCAGAGCAGCATTTCTCTCATCCGAATTCACACTGGGCTACACAGGTGCAGTTAGTCTGTTTCTCTGCCCCTTTTTCTAACACCAAAGCAACCTGAATCCAAATAACCCCCTCCCCCAGCAAAAACTTTATCAAAGCTCATATATCTCAGCAAAAAATGGCTCAGTTCAAAGTTTGAGAATACTTTGCTAAACTTTTCTATCAATAAATTGTTTTGGCTAGTTCCACTCAGCCTGAAATCTCTAAAACACAGAAGATGAACCCAGCGTAGGAAAATCAATATAGATAGCAAGCAGAAGAGGAGGATAAAATGAAGAAACTATATAGTAAATAAAATGAGCACAAACTGAAAGGTAGAGAACTGAACAGGGATACAGGACTAAACTGGATCCTCCAAAAAAAGCTATACCAATATATAATTGAAGGTGCACGCTGAAAGAAGTTTCACTGCTTAAATGCTGTTTCTGCTCATCTCTAGATCACCACCTCGTCAAAACCTAGTACCTCGATGACACAGTTTGTTTCGACCTGCATTGCATATAACATAGGAAGTATGTTTCTTCTCTAGTCGCTTGTTCCTCTTGTTACATACATGCTGCCTGCCTTTTATTCCATGATGATTCGATGTCAGAACCCAAATAGCTTTTGGCTTGTTCCTCTACATTCTGCATCATTAAATTATCTTCTCTGTAGTTAAAAGAAAATCCTTGATGATTCATGTTTTGCTGTGTTTGATGCTCAACAGATGTCTGGATAATTAAAGCTACCCTATCAGTGATCTAGTCATTTCTGATAATTATTCCAGTACCATGTAATTTTTGTATTTCCCTGACCCCTGTGGTCTGTAACATGTCCTTTGTTATTTCTTTTGTTCTTCCCTTTTTTGTACTTTCGCCTACGTTTTTTTTCCCCCCCTGTGACACTTCCAGTTGTTATTTTACATTTTGCCACTCTCACATTGGCTTCAGATGAAAAAAGCTGGTGAGGCTGAGGCCATCACTGTTTGAATCCTGTTCGAGTTGGAAGGGCTAACAGGCCATGCTGCATTTTTTTTTCCTGAAATTCCACTTGCCTGGCTCATTTGTTCTAACAGGGACAATGACAAATTGCCTTTTCAAACACCCATTGCTCTTCCAGTCAGGTTTCTTGTTTTGTCTTGTTTTTATCCTGGGTTGATGACCTGCTTAGTTGTTTTCAGTCATTGCCAATCATGTCATCTAGATTCCTCTTCTTTGCAGGTGTCACCTTTCTTATTCTCGTCTCTGTCGTTTTGCAGGTTGCTGCAGATAAGCAGCTTTTTCTCCGACTGCTTAGCTCTGCTCCATCCCAGCTACAGTGGTGCTTTCTTCCTCAACTGTGAATAGAGATTTTTGCTTCAACTTTCTTTTCATTCTTGTCAATGTACTCTCCGCTCTTTCTGTTCAGTTTTCAGCCAATTTCACAGCTTTCTGACTTTAGGCTATTTTATAATCTCTTACTGATAATTCCATATCAAACGGGAAGAAAATTCCAGCTCTGATTAATTAGCATCAGGGGAAAGCGCAGCACTTCTTCAAGGCAGCACTGTCTCACCTCCATCTGCCTTTTTTCTGTTGTTGTTTAAGCAGAAAGAGGAAAATTCAGCACACTTAATGTTGGGATTCAGCAGTACAGAGATGTTTCTTTTCCATAAAAGACCTACAGGTAACAAATGTCACTCAACAGAAATGACAGTTTTTCAAATCTATAATGCTTGAAGAAAACTTTTAAGCCAATGTTTCTCTGTGAATTACAGTCTTCATTTTGAAGGAGAAAGAAGAAGAAAAGTTTATAACTTTTCTGATGCCAGATTGTGTTTGTAATGCTGGCAGTTTGAAATACTGTGCTTTGCCAGGTAAACAGAACAAATCTCATATAGAAATAACCAGCACAGAAGAAGAAGAAGGAAAAGCAAAAAGTCATTTTGGCCTCCTTCAGCCATAATGCTGACACTCTCAACAGTTTGTATCGCCAGCCTAAGCTGCCCTATATAAACGCCAGTCTCTCGCATTAAGGGTTTGACTAACACAACGCTGTGCATCATAGCCCTGAGATGCACAAAATGGGCCTTCCCTGCATAACAGTGAAGTTACAGCCTTGGCCAGGACTAGGGTGGAACTGTATAAGCAAGCAGTTCATAAATTTTGATCGTGCAAATCCAAGTAAACTTAGAAGCAACCGCTCACACCCCAAGAAATTCTTCTGTACTCTGGGTTCAATCATAAGAGCCAGGGCTGAATCAATATACTGGCAAGCTGTTCTCACCAGAAGCAATGCTAGTACAGGAGGACAGCAGGACTCGCAGGGTCCAGCCTGTACAGATCCACTGCTCATACTACAACGCACACCATGCGCCGGGCCGCGCTGAGCAAGGCTTGCTCATCGCCACTGCAGGCTATGAGTGCAGTGCTACGCACTGACAAAGAGTGCTCGTGCTCCCTACGCTATACAAAACAGCAACCAGTTGTAAATTGTTGCGTGAATGATGTTTTCTTTAACTGCAGCAGCTACTCCCACCTACTCTTCTCGCTGTTTGATCCAGTCATGTAAATTAACAGTACATGACTCTCAAATGGTAACGTCATTGCACTATATGGCTAAAATGCAAACGTACCCATCAATATTTTGGGCTGAGTTTTGTATAAGAAAGTAGCCATTTCTCTTTTACAGACAACAGACTCCAAGGATTAACATTTAAAAATAAGGAAGCTCATCAATCTCGGTCTCTTCCCTTTCCTTTAATGCCATCACTTTTAAAACAGATTATAGTCAACTGTTGAATTTTTGCAAGATTTCTGATGGAAAGTATGTTTCTTGCTAGTAACTTTTGAAGAGGATCATCCTGCACTGTGGATCAAAAGCTCTGCTGCAAGAATCTCTTCATTTTCTTTACTCTCCTTTGTAAATTGATCCTAACGTTCATTCAGGAAAGGGAAAAGAAGCTTCATTGCTACATCAGCATCTGGCAGCAATAGCATATAGGACAACACCCTGCAGTTGCAAAGGAAATAAGTAGCACTAACCAGTATGACATAATAAAAGTACTCAACAGAGCAAGACTTGCCTATGACTGCTATGAAGCTGCTTCACTTTTAAATCTTGATGATTCAGTTTAATTGACTCGTACTCTTTTAAGGAACAACCCAGTTAAGAAACTCTCCACGTTCCCTCATTACCTCCTGAAGCTTGATCTCATCTGGCTGGAGGATGCTAAGGACCCCACTGCTCCGGATCTCAGGAAGATCCTGCCATAAGTTGAACCGGGAGGTGGAGTTCCTCAGCAAACTGATTTGAGGTGCCACTTTGCTTTCAGTTGTACTTGCAGCTTCTGTTTCAGATGGAGTTTCCTCGCTGGCTGAATTCTCTTCAGGGTCTGTCTGTGAATCCTGCAGCCGCCTGGTTTCAATCTCCTGGCGCGTGGATTTATCTCGATATTCCTGATACAAGAGCCCTAGAAGGCAATATAACAGATCTGAGAGGTTACACTGAACAAAAAAAGTAGGAATGCATTGTGGGAATGGGTATTTGTTTTGCATTAGTTCATCTCAGCAGAGGTGAGAGAGAGATCTCCTCCATGCCGAGAGAAAAAGCCGATTGTGGTCTTCCTATTTCAATCAAGAGTAGAAAATATACATGGAACACCCTTCCTAAATCTAAAGTGTTGTCAACAATCTGCTATCACAAAACGCGTTAGTAACACAGTCAGATGAATCCATGATCAGTCAGAAGATACGAAAGAAGAGATATTTATTATTTGCCAAGCTTTTAAAGGTCTTTTTTTTTTTTCTTTAAAGCCTTGCCATTCTCTTCAATGCTATTATGTTACAAGTTAGATAGATAGGTGTGCATGAGTGTATTTCTGAAAAGTGATACCACATACACTGAAATTACTTTAAAGGAGTGTTTTAAGGCTGTGAAAATCCTTAGAGAGGACACGCTGAGCTGCTGTTAAGGCATTAGACAGGATAAGCATCAGAATAGCAAAGTACTGGTCCTAGTTTAGGTCTGATTTCCTGGGTAGCCTTAGCTATGTTGCTTAATTTCTCTCGCTCTTCTCGTTTTCTCAGATGAGTGAAGATACTAAATTAATACTCAAGAGGTTCCTTTGGTGCCACAGCACCAAAGAAAAGACTATGAATTCGTAACAACTTGCTGCCCATCAGACACACAAGCTGTCTTCTATGTTTCAAATACTGACTTCAGTAGGAAGGTAGGAATCCTGAAATTTCTAGGCCAAATAAAGAAGATTTAAGATCCTCTTTCTCTCATATGGCTGCTGTTAACTCTCCCATTTCCCTTTCTGAGCCATCTGTAGGACCCAGAATATTAATCGCTGTAAACTAAAATTTCATTTAGAAGATATGAAAAGACAGGAGAGCATGAGCCTGCTCTGAGTCACTCTCTTCACTTACTTAAGTTGAAGGAATACAATTTATTTTGTCTCTCTCGGTTTATACTTTAATTTCTGAAGATGAATGAATAAATATAAAGGGCCCCAGATGTTTAAAAAAAAAAAGTAATAGATTTTAATCCGTAATGATACGGACGAAATAAATCTGGTCAAGCGTACTCATGATACTGGATCTTGTAAGCAGATTCCATGTGTAATAAGGTGTGAGACAGCTGGGTCAGGAGTTTGTCTAGGAAGGACAGAAACACGGTTGTCGCCGCCTATTCAACCTCTGGACCAGTTTTTGTGAGGCTCAATACCAATCGCTGTTAAAACTGTATTCCAGAAATATGCTGGGGAAAAGTGCAGGCACAAGGGCAGCAGTACCGCAGTCTGCAAGTGTATCCTGTTATCTGTTCTCCCCGGAAAGACGTTCAACAGTGGATTAAAATAGCAGTAAGGGTAGCTGTGCCTGGGAAACCATACAGTCTTCTGTTAGCTTCCTACACGATAACCAAAGAGGAGACTTCCCCTGAAGTTTAGCGTGCTGCTGCTACTTATATAATTTCTCTCTGCGTCAGCTAGGCTTATATGGCTTTCCTAAATGCTTCTGCTTTTTAATCAGCATCAGTGAGGGTGCTGAGCCTGTGGCGAGGTGGAAAAGCTGTCTGAGGAATGATGTGGAGAACCTGCTAAATCAGAGCTGCTCTCAGTGGGACTGCTCGTGTCTGTAAGCTCAGCCTGTGCTTAACGGCGCTGGTGCAGTAGGGCACTGGGTACTTGCTGCCCCAACGAACTGAGCACCGGCGAGCAGGACAGGCTGGGAAGTAACGCCCTGAAGCAGCGTGGCCAGTGTGTGACTTAAGGGAAAACATACTGGAAACTGGAGCATAATCTATTTTACTCACGCTGGAGATGATTATACTTGCAGCCTCTGTTCATACAGCCACATTGTGCTGGTGGGTCTGCCCTGCAAGTCACAGGCAATTAAGGCCATTTTGTTTGTATTTTATGTAGGGGTAATTTAGTCTCTCTTGTGCAGATCTGGAGAGCAATCCTTAAACAGAGATCTTTGAGGCAAATTCTTCTCTTGCTTTTAAGGAAACAAAATCCAGACAATGAAACCGTTCTTGCCTCCAGGTTCCCTGGCTGACCTACCAAGTAGAGATGACCTGCTGAGCCTTCAGCTGCAGGCAAAGGCACATATTGACACGGAGATATCTAACCGACTAAAGACATCTACCACCACAACGTGTTTGGAAGTGCCAGCAAGGTAATACATTTTAAGGGGGGAGCTGAACAGAGACTGATTGACACTCCACAACAGAGAGCAATAGTGGGAAGAAAGAGGAGGGTGATGCCAGGAGAAAGACAAAAGACAGGTTGATGTTTAGGTAGAACAAAGGTCGGAAGGAACAACCAAGGGTTGTGCTAGCAAGGATAAAGAGATCAAATTTGATATAAAAGGTACGTCCATCTACGTGTGAGGAAGTTACAATGGGCAGAGCGCAGACTTAGATGATTTTACCTGCAGTATTTTCACAGAGACAGAGAGAAGCCAGCACAGACAGAGGCCAAGCAAGAGCCGACTGTAGACGAAACAAGGGATGGTCACGGCAAAAGAGGGGCAACGTAACAGATGCAAGGTGAGCGGAGGGGGTTCTGACACTGTTGAAAGAAGAGCG